AAATATTATCTCATAAATTCAATAGGCTATACAATTACATTATAATTAGCATTTAGGTTATTGAAAAAATCTTTATGTTATATGCTTTTTTGCATGACAATACTGCTTTTATTTTTAAAATCTGATTAAAAATATACTTTTAACACCTAGACACTGAGAACGCTGTCAGCATGGGCAGGAGTTTTGCCTGCACCATGTGGTTTAAGGCTCTGTTTCAGAGGCGCACTTGAAGGTTGAAGCACCATTGTCTCTGGCTCTTGGCCTGAGTGGCCTGAGTGCAGAGTCCTCACAGTTGCCAGGAGCAAGGAACGACCCACAGGAGTGTCAGACACAGACCACACAGCTCAGGTTTAACCATAAGCTAATTGAATTAAGCCTTCTAGGGACTTTGAGGATCTCCAGTCTCCTCTCTACTCCCTAAATTGCTTCAGACTGAAAGACACAATCTCCAGACATGTGAAGGATCAGGCAGGTGTTGAACACTTATCTGAACAAGAGACGTTGCACGAGAGAGGACAGTGAGGACAGTGTGTGTACCTGGCTCACCTCAGGCTTCCCACTTTCAAATCAGTCAGGTATATCCACTCCCTTCTCCTTCTGCTGAAGACTATGCAGGTAAGATCTTTAAAGTCCTGAATAAGTTCATTGATTTTATACTATGAAGATGCCCAGGAGGAATCCTTTCTCCTGTGAGACATGAGGCAAACTGAACCACTTAAAACATTTCCCTGAATCATTTTCTGTATGGTAACCTACTACTTTCTACTAGTTATCATTTTGTCACAGGACAGGTAAAAAACATAAAATTTATGTAGGATGATGGCTGCAGATTTCCAAGTCTGGTTTACATGGTACATTTGTTCAAAGGGTGTTTAAGTAGAAAATACAGAAGCACTATACAAACCTATTATTACATTTGAGAAACATGAGCCTCAAAGGAGTAATAACGGTATGCTGTTACAACTTTGAATACATTTTCAGTATCTGTATTGAAAAAGAAAACTTTGTAAATATGTAAATTTCTGTTCAACAAATCTAAAATAAAATGCACTGGAAAACTGATATGTAGACAAAAGTTTATTTACACCATACAACATTTTAAATATTTTATACACAGCTGCAGCAGAGAAAGCTACTCAGAGCTTTCTAGAGAAAACTGCAATAATAAAGATGTGAAATATATTATTCATATAAAAGTGAGATTATTACTTTATTGCATTTAAAGCAATGAAGAATGTAGCTCAACAAACATTCATTTAATGACAAAAACTTTGCTTTTATATTATAAAGTAAAAAGTGTAGTAATGGCCAAACAGACTGTTATAAACTTTAAAAACTGCATAAATATATACATTGTGCTTCATGGTGAAGTTTTCTGAAAACTAAACCATACGAAGCGGTTACAACAAGAATCGTTGCTTGAGGTTTATCTATAAAGATTACCTTACAAATCCATTCCACGGGTACTTACAACACAGGGTGGTGATAACTGTACACCTGGCCATCTCTTCACTAGCCTGACCAGTGAGAAATTACCATATGAAAAACACCACTGACATTTGGCACGTGAAGTTCCTGACAGAGGATAGTCACACCGTTCAGATAGAAATGTCAGGCTTTCCAAGTCTTAAGTGTCAGTGCATTCAATTATGTCTCCACCTCAGTTCACTTTGATTTTGTTAAACTTCTGTTTGAAAGTCACCCTCCTGCACATCCAGAGGCAAATTCAGACACTTCTCCCACTCTGCAGGCCTCAGCTCCAAAGCATCCTTTGCCTCTGTGTCTAAGACATTGATTGTGGTATAATGTTGGTATTCACTGGGGTTTTTGAAAGTGTCCCATGGATTCTTGTTTGGCGCTGGGTTTTCCTGGTGAGGAAAGAGATGAACAGAGTTATTTGGTGATTAGTGTTGCTGCTTGCTGAAGTTCTCAGGAAAATAATATGCTGGTAATCTTGGCCTTATTTATGATTCAGAGATGGTTTAAAACTGTGACCAGTTACAAGAGACACTTTCTATTTCAGCTTTCGTTTGATTAAACAAAGTGATGAATATCATCTCTAAGTTATCATATCAATTTACAGGAAGTCAAAAGACGTGAATAGTGATGTGGAAGGCAAAGCTGTCAGTGCTTCAAAATGTCATTATGGGTGTTTATTCAAAGTGGAAGGGGAGTTAAGTCACTGATAAAATTAAATGTAGGGAATATAAATACTGTAGTGCAACTTTTGGTGAGGAAACACATTTAAGGATCGTTATTTGGACATATTATTTAGTGCTAAAGAGTTACTCATCTTAGCAGTATTTTTTTTTTAAAAACACAGTCACTGTATTTGATTATTCTTCCCAAGAAATTACCAATATTTGAATATATTTATATGCTGTAATGTCCTTGTTTTGTGATATTTGGATTTATACAGTCTTGACAATATTCTATGTGGTTTGGTGGCACCATTGACATCCTTCCTTTCAAAGATCATAGTTTTATAGAAAAATGCATCCAACAATACAAGAAGACATTTCTGCCTGTGCAAGGTCACCATTCATCATTATTTCTTACAGCACACGCCTCCTGTTACCTAAAATCTGAGGTTGTCCAAGGTACAAATACTGGGGCTTACCCCTGCTAAGATTTACTTGTGAATTTGACTTATTTTAAATGAATGTGGTTTAAAGATTTCTGTTAATGTGAGAATTTGAATGGGACAGAATAAGCTGATTATCATCAAAGAACAAGAAGGAAATTATGACTGAAAACTAAGAAGAAGATTAAACCCAAACACTAAACAACCAGTGGCTAAAGTGATGGAAGCTAAATTAAGTAAAGCATTGATTAAAGTTGAATAATTTATTGCTGCAAAAGGAAACGTCAAGTGAAAGTTGTCACTTTTGCAGTAGTCCAGGTTTTAATTCAATACAGAGATTCATTAAAATTTATCATTATTCATGAGAGACAACTGAACACAGATCACTAAATAATTCTCCTGCATTTAGTTCCTCTTCAGAGCTCTTTTTAATTTCTATTAGTCCTTGAATTCATTCTCCAGGAATACTAAAATGGTTGGAAAGTTGTTCTCACTTTTCATTTATAGAAAACTGTCAAATGTGTCTTACCTTTACCCCCAATCTGGCCTTCAGCTAATTGTAATTAGTTATCAAGTGGAACACAAAATAAGCATTGATTTTTGATTTTCTTATATAGTTTCCACTCAATATTTCAAACCTCATATGGAGCTACATATGACTAAGAAAGGACAGTCTACAGAAATACTTATAACTAGAAATTAAATCGCTAAAATCCTGAATACATCAAAGAAAAATAGTTAATAACAAGAATCTAATGAAAGGTAATATTTTAGGATACGAAGCAGTTTGTTCTGCCTTAGTCTAATATACTAAAATCTCATGACTATAGTTCACATCCATTCCTCCTTTCCTCCCTCTCTGCTTGCTTTCCACTGAAATTTATTTACCAGCTGATCTTTGCTGGACATCATATTAGGTCCTAGGGAGGAAAGAGTAATAAATAACATCTGGAAAAATATTATGGTCCTCTAGAGAGCTCAATATCTGAAGTCTGATACATACAAGTCCAAGTTCCAGTTCCTTCTTATAATATGAATATGACCTTGAGCAACGTTTTCAATTTATCTGAATCTCAATTTGAATACCTGTGCAACAGAGATCAGCTTTGTACAGTGTGTCAAAGAGGTTGCTGGAATGTAGGAATCAATATATTTTTTTTGTGTGAAGTTGCAAAAATTTTTTTAATTAATTTATTTTTTTCATTTTTATGTGAGTTTATTATGGTTTATGCCTTTGGGTAGGGAGGGGGTAAATTGGGGAACTTACACAGAGACAAGCACTCTTGCGGGGCCTCAGAGCCCGCCAACGTCAGATACTCCCGCGGCCCCCCCATAGTCTCCTTTAACTTTTGCCCACCCATCTTGGGCCAGCAGTCTCGTCCCAGGTCGGTAAATACCCCATCTCATCCATGTGGGTGAGGCGCCAGGGCCATCTCTCTTTCAGCCTCCCACCTCACCCCGCTGCGGTGTGTTCCTCCAGGCTGGAGGCTTCTGTCCCAAGATCCGAGTTGCAAAAAGTTTTAATGAGAATATGAGGAATTGAATAAACTTTGATTATTTAATAAGCGTATTTATTAGGGGTGGTATTTATGATTAAATGAAGACACAAGTTATATACTTTGAATTCATGTATATTTACTGTACAAAGTAATGGGTTCTGTTATGACATTTTGTGCATGCAGATAATGTATGTTGATCATAATTAACCACTTTTATTATCATCTTTTTCTATTTCACATCTGTGTTGCAGAAAAAGTGATATCGGAGTTCAAAGAAGAAGTGTTTTTTCGTGAAATGCATTATCTTTTCTTAGAAAAGTGGAATTTAGACTGGCATAGACGGGTAGGCTTGGCTATGAACACACAGCTGTGTGGCTGAGGTTGAGTGGCTGTACAACCATACCAGGATGTAAAATTCCAGAGCGCTTAGCAAAACAGTGGAAACAGTCATTTGTTTTAATTGGTGTGGAAAAAAAAAGGAGCAGAAACAAAAACAGCCAGATGATGAACTGGAAGCCAGATCATAGGGGTTTTGAATGCTAAGCTCTTCAAGTTGCAATGTATTTTGTAGATAACAAGGAATAGTTCAAAGTCTTGGGGTGTGGCGTGCCATCTGAATGGAATTGTTAGTGTAAAGTTTCACTGCTATGTATTCTGCTGCAGCAAGTCCATAGAGTGGACCCATCGACTTTAGACAAGAACAGTATTTCAAGGAGCTTTCTGGGACTCTTTAGTGTGATGGAAAGTCCAATTAGTTCGACTCTAAAAGGATTCAAGGTACACAAAGGGGTAGTCCATTTGCTTGGAAAATATAGGTTCTATTAGGCTTATTCATTAGGCTGTTCAGATGTGAGCTGCCTCACCCCCACCACCTTAAACATACTTTGAAAGTCAAGCTCACAAGCCAAAGTCACCAGTTTTAAGCATTTGCTAAAATATTTAGATACTAACTGCTAAGTGTTATTTTCAGTATATGACCAATTGAATTTTTGAGAAGTTCAGGAGTTAAATGATAAGGTTGACTTTCTTGTCCCACCTGAACTCTGGTTTTCATCCTCAGTCAAAAAATGTGTGGCAGTCTCTTAGATCAGAGTTCACCTCTCCTTAAGTGAGAAAGAGTTGTTATATCTTATAGCCAATAGGAACACACCTGCTTGGAGCAAGGAGGGAGCTTGTGGTCAGTGGACATGGCCAGTGTCTGCAAACTGCTCACCTTCCTATGTGTTGGGTAGGACATGAGGGTCGTGTACAACTCATAAGAGAAAAAGAAGAACATTTTCAGAGGCTAAGGGAGAGCTGCAGAGTCCAGGAAAGGCTTCACTGGAGGCCTGAATATAATGATATAAAATTATGTGACCTCTGTAAGTTCTTGACTTTATGTTTCTGTTGTAACTTGTCTGTCTTATTTGAGCAAAGACAAAAAGAAACAGACATAAACAGGAGCAAATGTATTAAAAAACAAAAAATACAAGATTTACTATAAGCCACCATGTATGGAACTTCCAAACATGATAATTTGATTTTAGGACTCATCTGCAGAAGCAGAATGTTAGGTGAATATGAGGATTCAGAACCATCCCAAACATGTCAGGTTGCCTAAGCGTTTCCAGTAGGTGGTACTGCCTAGAATAGTCCAGAGGGTCATGTGGTGTAGGCCCTCCCTCCTGCCACCATCCTCTCTGTTTTTTCCCTCTTCTTTCCCTTTCTACATTCATTCTTCCCTTCTTTCTCCAAACATCCATATTTGTGGACAAAGAAAATGAATATCTATTCAGAAAGAGCAAGAATTCATGGAAGTTGCGGGGAGGAAAGAGATCTTGACTGAATTGTTTGTGAGTCCACTCAAGGTGAAAGAGTTTCATCTCAGGGGACCATGTAATAGTGCCTATTGCTTTATGGTGTGTTTTCAATGTTTTCCTGCCTAGAAACAGGAAGATGGACTAAATGATACTTTGGTCTTGATTCCTTCAGTTCTATAATTTGTATAATTACCATCATTTGGAGCAGTGGGCAGGTGTAAATTAGCAGCCCTCTCCTCAAAAAGGAAAAGTTGATAGTTCCTAAAAATGTCATTCTCCTCCCAATTATGCAATTTTTCATTAGCAATGTATCACTACAAATTATGTGACTGAATTAAGGATAATGAACTCATTCACGTTTGTTATTAATCAAGGCTGAATAACAAACTCTTTTTTCCCCGGTTCTCAGATATTTAGGACAATAGTTGAGTAGCAATGACAACCATATCTTCCCCACTCCCAAGCTCCCAAATGGTAAATATTTATAAATCTCTCCTAGAAAAGGCATACTACTGCAAGGATGTGGTGTAATAGATTATTTTGGTTGTCAGGAAACTGAGATGCAGATTTTTGTGCCATTAATAATTTAATACCCAGACCACGCAAAAGGGGAAACTACAATCATATTATTGCAGCCAGCCAGCTGTATCTGTTGCATAAGCCTTTCAGATTTGTAAACACAAACCTCTTCTTTTTTTTTAAGCAAATGATGTTTCTTCAATTTATTTTCATGTTAGCTTTCAGTATTCTAAAATGAGTAGTTAATGTGCTTAGGTCTAATCTCAGTGGTGTCATTCCCCTTTGCCTGCTAGCTGAATATTGATGGCTTAATATTTAGAGGAGTAGATGATAAAGAACCACTCGTTACACATGAGGAAGTGTCTTCTATACACTTAGTATTGTGTTGGTGATAAATAATTCATCAATGAGTTTCCTGCTTTTGAGGTGAAAATAGATCAATACATGCACAGTTTATTTACGCAGCAATTAAGATTTAAAGTGTGTCCTATTTACATAATCTTCATTTAACACACACAGATTAAGCTGTTACATCCATGAAATAAATACATAGCTGCCATTTACCAGTGACTCATGGTGACCAGTACTGTACTAGCTCTGGGAAGAGTAAGGAAACAATATAAGGATATGTACATTTTACCAGTTAGCTTTTCATTACCTTTACTAATCAGCTAGGGTGAAGACTCATAAAATACATGCAGAAGAATCACTAGAAGATGATCAAACACCATGTTCTTTATATATATGT